AAATTAGATTTCGATAATAACATTAACAATGTCTAAAGGTAAATGAACAAATATTATGAAAATTAAAATCTAATTAGGTTCGCTAGTTTAAAAAAATGAGCAAATTTGGTATCCCCAGAAACGGAGAATATGTGCGCTTGGGACGGTGGGAGGAACAAGAGCAGCTGAAAATATACGCGCACGAGGCTGGAAGGGTTAAAAGAACTTAAGGGTTTGAGCATCTTGCCTGACTTTTGGAAACAGCTCCCCCTGTACAAGTACATGTACAACCTCTTAAAAATATTGAATCATATTACCGACAGAACCCCCCCCCCACACACACAAATTATCTAAAGCTAACCAGTTGTACACCTCTCACCCACTTACGCCAAAACAACAGCCACCAGACGAAAAAAATAAAACATGATACAAAACCAAAGAAATTCTTTTAAAACCTCACCGATTCTATTAATATGATGTAAGAGCGAGCCACGCACATCTTCATTTTGATAGTACAGTCACAGACATGCATTAGCACTTCCTATCCCTTGATACAAATACAAGTGTAAAAAGGCAGTACTAGCTGTGACAAATTGCTACCTTAGAATTAAGAAGTTCTACCAGTGCAGTTCCTAGTTTTGAGAAATTTGACGTCGAGACATTTCAGTTTCACAACATGCCAAGCTTTTTCGAATACAATTCTTTGAATTTCTCTATAACGACTTCGAACAATATTATGATTTTGTTAGAACAGATAGAGTATTTGGTTTCTGACACGCTAAGGTCTTAGTAACTCAAAATGGCTAAAAATGTCAAATAGAACTTTAAAATTCTAAGGTAGCGAAATGTGAGCCTTGGTGTTGCTAACATAAGCATCTCCAGACACACGTGTGCTCATCAACACATCTCACAGAAAGTATGAGTGTGCGTGCAGGTGTACGGGCATGTGGCTGTTGTTGTGATTAAGTCGCAGTTTATTGCCCATCAAAGCATGAACCATCAAATTTTGTTTGAGTAAAGAGATGCACATCAACACATTTAGAGCTGGGAAAAAGTAAGACAGACAGACAGACAGAAACAACAGAAGGAAAGTAAAGAAGTAGGACCTACCAGTGGCGCCCTCCAACCACCCATTCCAATTGTTTTGACAAGAGGTTAGTGGTAATGCATGTGAAACAAAAGAAAGAAATATAATGTTAGAAGGTGAACCCACATTAGAGTGCCCATCAACCAGTGCATATATGCATGTGTGTGCATTCGTAGGGGTGTGTGGGAGTGAGACAAAGCAAGACAGGTCACACATCAGTGTAAGCGAGTGTGAACTTGAGCCTGAACGCTTGTGTGAGCTTGTGCTTGAGGGAACATACACATCTGCACAAATGCGCGAGTTCAAAGCGGATGCGTGCATATGGAACCAAGCTTGCATGTGTGTGCACGTTATCACAAACACTATGGAAAGCTCCCCAAAGATCAAATACACTGTCAAGAGGGAAGAACAGCTTTCTTGCATCAAGAGACCATACATGATAAAATATGCTTGACTTCCTTATCCTACTAATAGACAGCAGTCACATGAGAGGTGAAGGACATGAAGCAACATTGGTAAACAATCTCTTGACACTAACAGTAACAGTAAGAGTCATTAAACAACATTATAAAGAAAAATCTCTTGATGCCAACACAGAAGGTCATGAAATGACACTCTTTCTTAATGCCAACACTCACACACAGAACAAAGTCATGGTGAATACATTTCCTCTTCACAAACAATACAATGTTTACAACTGTGACTCATGCTCACGGCTAATGCAGCTTTACATCAACGCACTCCTCATGAAACTAAAATAAATATCACTTGATACAGGAAACACAAAATAAATAAACGATAGAAGCCATTACTGTTTGGAATGTTCCTGTTGCATTCAACACAACAAAGGAAAATGAAGAGGGCTAAGGAGTGGAACCCACCCTTTTGGAAATAAAACTTCAAACAGATGGACTTAGTCCTTCCATTTAAACTATGAAAGAGTTACAACTGCAGCAAATTTTGCTCAGAGTGCCCAAATTAGTTCATATGTTACGTAGGAAATGGTATGCTTCAAGACAATTTTGAGACCTGCTGATTAGATAAAACTCCTAACTTTATCTTCTTGCAGTGTAATGGGCCATCTTGCCTTATGAAACAAGCAGATATGAGAGTGACTATCATTACAATGAAATTACATTGCTTCCTGACTGAGAAAGAAAAAAAAAAGTTCCCTTTAAAGAGGTGACGGGGGCACATTTTTTTTACTGTTCCATGCATCGCCAGCGATACTATTTGGACATAAGTAGTGTCATGGCTGCCAAGTATAACACATTCAGGGCCCTGATTCATATGCCCATCCTTTCCCCAACCCCCACTCCCCAAAATATGTCTGTTTTGCAGTCAATCAAACTGACCACCGTTAAACTGTGCAGTATTTTCTCTGTGAACAGCTAATGGTTTTGTGTATTTGAATCACAAGAAATATGAACACTGTGCTTAGGGTTCTATACAAATTTACATAAAAAATATAACTGTAAATTGAAGACAATGAATGCAAACCGTGAAATGTACAAGATGAGCCGTTTGACTAAATCAAATAGTTGGAAAGTCAACTACAAACTAGTTGATCTCACTTCTTGACATCATATGATAACATACTCAAATTTTATAAACATATCACAATGGAGCAAGAGAGGCAATACATTTATTTTAAAGTACAGGTAATAGTAATCTCAGAAATTTCATTCATTGCAAATCTTGCCAAATATTGATGGAAATAACCACTTTGACAAGCAAGAAAGCTGGCACAAACCAAATCAAATTTCTTCGTAACTATGAGCATTGTTTACCAGCCCCCCACAAACCAACCACACACTCATTCATACTCACAAAACGTCTACCCTGACAATGTCTATGACATCAGCGAGACATTTCTCAATTTCTCCCTCTCTACAAAACCATGAACATCTAGGCAGGCTGGTCTGCAGAAAGCATTACACCAAGAACATATAGCCTATACCACACTGCAATCATTTCAATGCATGTCAGCCATATACAGGGCCACTAGTGGGTTTTAAAAAGGCTTTAAAAAAGACACAAGAATAAGTTTGGCAAGCAAAAATGTTTACTCTTTAATTAAATACCATTACTTCAAAAAGAAATAAAAAGGGTAAAAAAAAAAAAAAAATGGCCAAAATTTAATTATCATTTACAACCTTCATAGGCTTTTGCCTGACACGGAACAAAAACAAATTTATGAACTTAAAAAAACTTATTTCCATTTGTACTTCTAAGCAAATTAGTGGAAGTAAGATTGTCAAATTAGGTTTGTCTTATTTACAGATTATCACAACAGTAATTTGTTCGACTCATGAATACATGTATAGAGAAAAAAAAAAAGGCATTTGTAAAAGTTCAGAACGTAATCTTCATATTCATCAACACATATTTTCACACTCTCCATCTCGTATCCTCCTCATACACATCATGGCATAAGCTGAAACAAATCTTCACACGTCCCATTTTGGTGTGCATATTCTGATTTCACCCAAAAAATTTTCCGCTTTTTAAAGAAAATGTGGAAAAAACATTCCATTAATCAATGTTTTGAACTTACATGTATTTTTTTTTTCGTGTTACTCATACATATTTGTTGAAATCTTGACAATTAATCCTCACAGTTGCAGTATAACTGTGCACAGAGCGAAATAACATACTCATGTTACATATCACTTGCGTGTTATATTCTTGATTTAACTCTTAATCTCCGAGGGGGGGAAACCCACTACGCCGGAGCCCTTTTTTGGTGCTAAATGTAAAAATGACAAAACATCATTAAACGGGTCATTAAATCAAAACTGGCAAACCTATTTTGATAGTTCTTCATCAAATGAATGAACTTCCGGTATAAGAAACCTGTTTTCGGAAATTGACGAAAAGAAATTTGATGTCGAAGTCGCCGTAAAGGGATGTGCCCGAGCTGCTGTCAGCAGCTCACTGGCACAGTGGTTCCGACCGTGAGCCGCTCGATAAAGAATTAAAGAAACAACTCGTAAAATTCACCTTATACATGCAGTAGTTGTAAGAACTGTATGGAGTGTATCGTTTGAAACTTATTTCGATGACACTTTCTGCGAGTAAGAGTATCAGCACAGGTGTGAATACACAAGTAATACCGTACTTATCAGCGAGAGTCTGTCATGACATACAACAGCAAACAACACATTGTACCTGCTGTAGTAGGAGAATTAGTTTTTCTGAGACTTACACTTACAGTGGACGAGACTAAAACGCTTCACACCAAGGGTCTCAAACTCGTGGGCCACAGGCCAACTGAGGCTGGCAGGACTATATTTTGCAGCCTCCACTCGACAACAAAGTCTTTGTTTTAGTTAAAGTATTACGGCACTTGCAACACAATAAAGTCATATGAGTGCCCAGGATTAGAAGTGTTACAAGAGAGTAACAAGCACAAAAAAGGAGGAAAGATCAGGATGATAGATGTTTGAAACGAAAGAAGGAGCAAACCGCACCAAAGCACCCACCATCCACCTATGACGACATTTTGCAGCCTCCACTCGACAAACAAAACCACCCGAACTCGAATCCTGTTCTAAGTTAAAAGCACAAAGGTGACCACATAGTAGAAAGCTCCTCCCCTCCCCCCTCCACCCCCAATGGAAAGACAAAAGACTTGGGGAAAGAGTGGAACAAACATTGGACCCGCTCAGACCAAAAGTCAGACGTCGACTGTAGCACCAAAAATATCACCACGTTATAGTGGGACATCCTCCTCTGTCTCTGCAAATATTCAGCAGACAAAACAAGGATGACTATCTCCAACACTTATTCTGTCCATTTCATTTAAATCAGGGACGCATTGTTAGGATCGGTAGTGATTTAAAGCTCATCTCAACACATTTTTGATTTATTGGTGTTTTTGTGACATTATGCACTCAATCACCTACTTCGCAAGATTACATCTTTCAAAGACTTTTTCCCTTTTTCTTCTCACTCGGTCATATCTGAAAACTAAGCAACACTGAACCAGGGACACGGAAAGGCAGTTGTGGTAGATATTGATTGACAGAATTTGGAGTACCATACAGATTGTGCAAAAAGAAACAGAGACATTAAAGATTTCACTGTCATGAGTTTCATAGTGCTCGAAATACGTAAAAGATGCTTGGGTGTTAGACTGTTAGACTACAATAAAAATATTCTCAGAATTCGTTGTTTTGTTAGGGAAAAATGTCTGCATGAAGAAATCTGTTTCTATACACAATCTTTGTTTTCGCAAAATATGGGCAAAATCTATGATCAGAGACAGCCCGTGGATTTTTTCCAGCTGAGGCTACTGGCTCAATAATAATGCCAAAATATCATAGCTGTACCCAAATCATTAGAAGCCACTGAGTATCAGATGCATAGAACAACAAGCCTTACGAGTCATTAACAAAAATCTTGATGCGAGAACTAATGGGAAGAATAAGAAAAAGTCTACGACAAAAGATATCTAAAACATAAGGTTAAGTGTGGTCAACCCCTTTATACAGTTGTGAATGCTGGACAGCTGGACAATCACTAAAGACAGTGAAAATAAAATAGAAGCAACAGAATTTTGCTTTCTCAGGAGACGGTTGAGAATTTCTTGGAAGGAAAAGAAACCAAATGAGGTAGTACTTGAAGAAGCCCACATGACCCGCTCGCTGATAAAAACTATAAGGAAGAGACAAATGCAATCTATGGGACACTTGGATAGAAATTGTGGCCTTGAACATCTAGCTTTCACTAATAAAATTGAAGGCCATTGAAGCAGGGGTTGACTCAGAACAATTTACTGGAAAGCCTAAACAAATGGGAGACAAGGAAAGATCAGGATAATATAGCTTTTTCTGAGAGCATCCGAACAAATGAATAAATGTCACATCATGATAGCCGATGTCTGTAGCAGACCTGGTCCTTGATGATGGTCATGGCAACTCAGAAAGTCTGAAAGGCAACCATTCTCTTTGAGAGGTTGCCATTTAAATGAAAGTCATATAATGAAAAGATATCTGTAGACAGTGAAAGCAATACATAAGGCCTGTTCAGCACCCATTCTGTCACCACCAAACTTCCAGTTCTCTTTATCAACAAAAACACTTTGCCTGTGGTGACTGTTGCTAAAACAGTATCATATCTAAAGGCTTTTTTAATCAAAGATGGCTTACTCAAGGCTTTTCTCTTTCACAAACAGCGACCAAATTTGCAATCGATTTCACTCGGTTAGGACAATGGCAAGCTAATTAAAACAGTCATTATATGTCATTAAAGCAAACTTAAAAGAGACTTAACACTAAAATGCAACATAGCAAAACGTTGTATGGTTAAAGTACATACCAAGACTACTGGGCAACAAGATACTGTTTTGTACAAACCAGTTCAGCTCATTCATTTCCTTCCTCGAGCCAAATGAAAAAAAAAATGAAGCTGAAATTTCAACCAAATGAGTTGAGTAACTAGTCCAAGATTGATAATCTTTCATCCCAGTTCGGGAACTAAAAAGAAGCAACAGATTAATTATTTCTGTCTATAATGTAGTGATTCCAAAATGGTCACCATCCAACTGATTATAAAAAGCAGCAGCCCCAAGGCTCCTACTTTGCCAATCTAATGCCCTGTCATATTTTTGATTAATCAAAAAAGAATAATAATCAAAACGAAGCTTCTACCTCGAAGACTGCACGGCTACCAGATTTTGGTCTAAAAGTTTAAGCTAAAAAACAACTATGGGAAACATCGAAGCAGTAAAGAAAGCCCGAGAGGCTGAGATCTGGGCGTGGACAGATGTCAGCTGGACAACTGAGAGGCAACTTGAATTTCTCCATTCGACACCAGCTACGACTGTTGCCCTGAGCAGTGGACATCACTAGCAACTGCTGGACTTTGGCTTGTAGTGCGTCCATCAACAGACATGGTCAGTCAATGCCAAATGTGCTTGTTTCTTCCACTGCCATCACAAGCTTTTCAAACAACATTTCTGACGAACTGTACGGGGGTAGGTCCAAACGATTGAAACATGTGTGAGCCCTGGGAAGCAGATATTGAGCAGTTGATTTAACAAAAGCAAAAATCACTTCTAAAACGGCAAGCATTCAAAAATCACTCCGCGGTTACACAGTGAAATGCACATTCTGCAAGGTAATTTAACTTTTTTTTCGGGGAAATGTATGTATATACGATCCCCCCCCCCCCCAACAAAAAACAACAACCCCCCCCCCCCACACACATAATAATACACAAAATAACACAAAAAAACATATGACTTGTATATCTGTATCGTTGTCTAACTATAGAACAGCTATGACAGAAGAGGGAGACGTAAAAGGCACTAGGCTACAAGAACAAACTTCAAGTGTTTGAATTCAGTGGTGAGAGACATTCAGGTATGTTTGCACTAATGGACAAGTCAAAAAGACAATAATAAAGATACTGAACCAGTGACGGTACCAGTAAACCACAAAAGAGCATTTGCAAACCACCCAGATATAGCACTGCTAAAAAAAGCACTTAAAAGGATTTTTTTTTTTTTGCAAGTAACTTTTTCCAACATTGACAAAAACATATATGCATAATGACGCAAAATTCACTTGCAGTTGCCTCTACCCCAGAGGTGCATCCGCGCGCGCACACCCACATACACCCACATATTTACACAAACATGCACATGCACACACACACACACACACTGCATCTCACCTGGGAAGACTGGTCACTTTCCCCCATTTTTCGATGCAGAACTTGCGTGGACCGTTGCTCCCTCTCAGAGCAGAGAATCCTTCGTATGGAATGCTAGAAGACCCTGTGACAAACTGAAGGAAAAAAGACAAGCTTAAAGCCTCGGCCACTGACGATCAAATCTCATCTAGTTACTCCTGTTACACTCACAATCACAAGGTCAGTAACAATGAATTCTCTGGTTTTAGAAAAAAAATAAAATAATAATCAACCTAAGTATAAAACGAATAAAAAATAATTGCACTTTTAAGAGGGAAAGAACATCAAAAATTATTTATGACTTTGAAACATAATATGTTCTTTTCAGAGTAATGTCTATACCTTTGGCTCCAGAATTTTTTTCTGCATGTGGACAGAATTTACTTTTGTTTGTCAAAATGGAGCAGGGGGTCATTTACATATTGGGCTTTAATTTTTCACTAAATTAAGATACAGCAGTGTTCTATACTTCATTTGAAAGAAAGGGAAGTGAATGTAAAATCAGATTATGTAAACTGCTGGGCCAAAACTCCCAATTATTCTGTAATTCATGGCAGTTATACAAACTGGACCAAAAACAAACACTGTAAAAGATATTCAAAAGATCTCCAAGCGAATGAAATTTACCTGCAGGAGTCGCAGCTGCCGTTCGTTGTCAAACTTCTCAATGGCTTCCCAGAACCACTGGATCACCGGATGCTGGTCGTGATAACCTGACGGGGGTAATTACAAGGAACACTCTTCATTTTATGATGGACATTTAAGGACTTACTCAGGCTATAAAGGAAGAGGTAGACCACACAAAACAGGGATTGAGGGAGTCAAGGAAACCCTGGGAAATGATAAAATCCCAATTGATACAGCTGCAGAGCAGGCCTACTACAGAAAACTGCATCTCCCCTCAATGCTAAAAGGATGAAAAAGTAATAATTAACATTAAGTTTGAGGACTCCTCTTCAAAGTTTTTTTCTGGTAAATATGAGGGAAAATTTCTACTTTTGTTAGTTGTATTTGAAGAATATGTAAATACAAATGCATTTTGTAATCCTTTAAATGATCCTTGCATATAACTTAAAAGAGGCAGAAACAAGGCGGCAAGCCTAAAAAAAGGTAAAGTGAAGTATACTTTCGAGTACGCATTTGCATGATAAAAACGTAATCTATTACAAATTAAATTATTGTCAATCATTTCTCTGACCCAGCAGACTGTATATCAGAGTTCCGAAGTTGAAAATGTTTTTTCTTATACAGAAAGAGGGAAGAAAAGAAATATAAAATTGTAAACTATATCAAAATAGTGTCATTTTCAGATTTCTTACATAGCAAGAAAATACACACTCAAAGAAAAAATAAAAACTGCTTTTCAACTGAAGGATTGACAAGCTGAACATTAACAAATTGTTCAAGTCTGAATTCTCTGACCCAGCAGACCCCACCCAATACCTGAGCGATAGTCTGTGTTGCGTCGCCAGTCGCCGATGTCGATCTCCACCGTACCGGCAATGACCAGCTCCAGCTCCCGGGCATCAAACGTGGATACCAGACGACCGTCCAGGACCTGGGCCAAGGACAAGTGTCAGAGAAAATATAACAGTTGGGATTCTCCTGGTTGATCTGTACGGCGCAGGACTTGCATTTTCCACCCCAAAAAAAAGTGAATTCAATTCCATTCTGTTCTTAAAAAAGGCAGTTGACCCCATTTTCCTTATTCCAGTTAATAATAATAATAATTATTATTATTATTAACAGTAAAAATAATAATAAACAGCATTTGCACGCTCGACAGCAAGATCTATGCTCTTTACAATCTCTATCAATACCCCAATAGCAGACCGTAGAACACCCAGAAGCATTCTCTGTTTCCCAGGAAGCATACAGTGCAAGAAGCTGATTAAGCGCTCAAAATGACAAGATCTTTCGTTAGTTTGAAGCTGGGTACCCATTCCCACCTGGGTGGTGGTGAAGTGACGAAAAGTTGTGTTAAGTGCCTTCCAAAGAACGTGACATTGGGCCCCTGACAGGATTCAAACCCACGACCTTATGGCTGTGAGTCTGTGAGCCTATCTACTAGGCCACCGATGCCACTGCAATTGAGTACTTATCAATCGATTGAGGCGGAATAAGTGAATGATTAGCCGCAGTACCTTAGTGTACAAGGATGTTGTATGTTGCCTCAGGGTTGAAATGGTAAATTGGGATGAAGGAGCCGGCTAAAGGAATTATTGTGAAGTCGTGAAGGCTTTTAATTTTTAATTTATTTTTCAGGGAGCAAAAAGCACAGAACAGAAGGGACCTCTCATCAGAACGGACAGAACATCATTATAAACCTTTTCTTTACAAATCAAAAGAAACAGTATGAGTACCTCTTTGTGAGCAGTTGGGACAAAAGACTACTTTCAAAGTGATGTATTATTTTTGATTAAACATATTCATTTTGTTTTAAAAAGCACCACCTTGCTTGTACTCATCTCAATTTTCAACGACTTCACCTTCAAAGTTGATAACAACATAACAGACTAGGACGATAACCAATCTCTCATCAGAAACCTCACCATATCTTAGACAATCAAAACTATTAGGAGTCTCCTATGTGTGTTACCATGACTTTTGCAAAACATTTCAAGCTGGCTCCTCCATTATAATCTCACGAAGAAATAAAAAACTAGAACTAACTCTTTATTTGTTTTAGTAAGAGTTTTATGGCACTTGCAACACAATAAGGTAATATAAATGCTGAAGATTAAAGGTGTTACAAGGGAGTAACAAAAAAAAAAAAAAAAAAAAGGAGGAGGAGAGATAAGGATGACAGATGTTTGATAGGAAAGAAGGAGCAGACCACACCAGATCACCAGCAAACCCCACCCATGAGTACTCTTCTTGGACAAATGTTTTGTTGCAAGAGTCTTAGTAAAGTTTTAGTTGAGGTTTTACGGCGCTCGCAACTAGATAAGGTCATATGAGCGCCAGAAGATTAGAGGTGTTACAAGAGAGTAACAAACATAAAAAAGAAGAAGGGGAGATAAGGACGATAGATGTTTGATAGGAAACAAGAAGTAAACAACACCAGAGCACCCGCCAACCACCCACTGTAAGAGTCTGAGACACTGTGGAACTGACCTCGTGGAACCCTCGTATCAAACTCTCTGTCTGCTCGGTGACGCCACGCTCCAGCCTCCACTTGACCATCTTCTCGATGTATTCTTTCTTGTTCTTCTCCGTCACAGCCATGTTCTTCCCGTTGGGCTTCAGCTCACGCTCCGTCACCTGCCGGAGGAATACAACAAACAACATGTTGGAAGTTTCCAGTCTTCTAATTGGTCGCTTTTAAGCACAAGGGGGCTATCCTGAAAAATGCTGTTTTGAGAAAATCAAAGGTAAAGTTTTAGCCCCTTGTTCAGTTTCTTTAGAAGATAAGGAGAGTTTTCTCTATAACTAAACAAATATACACACCAATGAAACCAAACTTTTCCTACAAGTAGGGCAATGCCCACTTTTGGTGTAGGTCAAGAATTCTGGGAACCCACGAAATCTGGGTTAGCACGCTTGTCCTTAAAAGCGACCAATTCTTCTTCTTGTTCATCTTTAAAAGGACATCCCAGTCTCTAGTGTAAAGGCTGTTGTTCGCTACAGGTTCTCTGTGCCACAATTGAGTTTTGGGTCTCTCTGCCCAGGGTTGAGCAAATATTTCTTCTCTGAAATTCAAAGCCTTTTTGTTTGTTTGTCTGTTTAGGTAAAGAGAACCACATCGACACAATAACAGTCATTTAGTGCTGCAAAAGTAAGACAACAAAAAAATAAGAGAGAGTGAAAGAAAAGAAGTGGGACGTACTAGAGGCGCCCTCCAACCACCCACTGAGACTGTTCACTGAAAACTGTTATGCAGGAGGGAATTAGGCAAATGTTCACCATGAAAAGAAATACATTAAAATAGATGTGGGCAGCTGTGAAAGTACAATTTGACATAAATGTGAACATGAAGAAAAGAATGACTCAAATAAGCCAGTTGCTGTCGCATAGTTACACAATATATGACAATGCTTGAGTTCAAGTTAGGTCCACCTTTACTCTTTACTTCTACTTTCAACAATGGCAACCCCCATGCAGCACAGTGCCAAGACTGGTGCATGTGTGTATATGTGTGCGGGGCAGGGGGGGGGGGGGGGGGAGGGGAGGGCGGCAGAACTTCAAAATGACAAATTAAGAGTCGAATAAGGTGTTAAACTAGAACCAAACCAAACAGAATCTTTAGTTAAGCCCTTGCCCTCTTCAAAACGAGTCCTCTTGATGACTACTTTGAGCTTAGGGAAAAGGAAAAAAGGTCACTCATTTTGAAGACAGTGAGTTCTTGCCACAAGGTCAGATGATTAACCAGCACCCTACAAAGAGATCCTGCTGCATTTGGCCACACTCAGTGAATGAGAAGAGGCAAGATTGTTGTAGGATAACTCGTGGCTGCTTCACCACAATAACACTCCTGTTCACAATGCTGCGTAAGGTCATATGAACGCGGTGGACATATTTAACATTTCAATTTGGTAGGGATTAATTTTGAATTTTGCTCTGAAGGCTGCCAAAGTCTATTCTTATCGATTTTAAACCACCAAGGGATCTTTAAAGTGTGCAATTTGCACAAGGTAGACCTGCATGTTTGCCGACAATCATCTGAAATCCGCCAATCGTGACCCGACCCGCGAACCGGCCGATGCTATCGCTAGGCCCGCCTGTATCAGTCAATGTGCGTAGTGCGAGGCCTGGCCGACTGCCAGCGACCCCTTTTTCTCCCGTCGGCTTCGTCGGCACTTTCGCTTTCGTGCCGACCGCCGACGCGCGCACCGCCGACGTCGGCGTTTCATACATAATTGTCAGAACCTAAGTAGAAATGCGAATACGAAAAAGGACGACAACCTAAATTATCTAGTTTCAGTTTCGTGCTCGAGCGGCCATTTTGAATTTCGTTTGTTGACTAATTCAATTGTTCAGATCGTGTGGATTCATTCAAGTCCGACTCTCTTGTTCTAATAGAATCTAGATCTAGATGTAGATTTATATAGATCATTATAGACCTCAGCTGAGTCCCTCTGTTCGGAATTGGATGCGGATTTCTAGTTCAAGGCCTATTCCTTTTCACTTGTTCTACAAGATCTAGATCTATATCTAGATTTATTTAGATTACTAGATCTAGATCTATATGGAGGATTCATATTCCAATTCTATTGTGTTATTGTATCAAACCCTATTATAGCAATGTAGATGTAAGCCATATAGATCTAGATCTAGATCTATATGCTCCTTGTCTGTTTTGGAGTGTGGTTTTTAAATTAATTTTTTTTTTCCATTTAGGACTTGTTTTGGCCTTTTTACATGAGGCCCATTGCAGGTTCTTTTTGGGGGTAGGGTTAGGGTTAGGTCTCTTCTTTATTGTACAAGTGTTTGTTGGGGTGGTCGCTCGTTACTCGGATGTCCTTCCTTATGACACCCACAAAGGCTTTTTTTTTTTGGGGGGGGGGGGGGGGGGCCAAACTCGCGGGCGCAAAATTTTCAGACAATCTGGTTGAGGCTCACATGCAGGTCTAACAAGGGACCTCCGAGATTTTTCGCCAGTATCTGAGAAGGCTAGGTGTTAGATTTTACCAACCCTAAGATCCAGGGTGCGGCTGAAAGACAGCAGTAAGAAGGAGCCTAGGACTAGCAGTACAAAGGCTGTAGAAGGAGCCAGGAGCCCAGGGGAGGGGGCAGAAAGTGGAGACGAAAGCAGATGACAGAACATAGTTTACAATCCCCTGAGCATCCAACAGCTCTTGGACAGGAACAGCGTCACCAAGCGAGAACAACCTCCCTATTCACCTGACCAGTGGAAGATGATGCCTCTCACACTGAAGAAAGTGATCAATATGGCCTTCACCTTTGACCTTGACCACAATCCTGCTCGTTGAAAGCCGCCCACTCCAAGAGTTATTTTCTAACTCTTTGAACTGCTCGTACCTTGCAAAAATATGTGCCTTGAAAAATTGTCTAAACTCCATACACACTGAAAGTAATTGTGACAGTTTTCCCCAAACAGACTAAAAATTTTGTGTTGATTCCTTGCTCATTCTTCAGTGCTCATCGCTGAACAGTAATAAAAAAGGGGGTGCAAACAAATTCTAGTAAAAAGTAAATATAAAGGTACGAAACCCAAAAATTACAGTAACACATTTCCAAGATATCGAGTTAGATGATAACAAAATTTGCTATTTCCTCTTTAGCCCATAGCTCATACAGCACACTTTGTCACATTACTTTTCAGACAGACCTCATATAACAAAGGCATCTTGCAAAGTTGATCTATTTTGTTCACTTGTGAAGCTACATATGTGAATGGAAGCAGCAAACTTCTCTTCATCATTATCATCATCCTCCACCTCTTTTACCCCGGGATAGGCCACCAAGAAGGGCTCTCCACCTGTCTCAGTTCCGGGCAATCTTTTCCACCTCCAGCTACATGTGGTCCGTATGCCTGAGATATCACAAACGTCTTCATCATCATCATCGCCTTTCTCACCCTGGATCAGGATATGGGCCATGAACACTTTCCACCTTTCCCTAGCCTGGGCTAGCCTCTTGATGTTGTTTCCATGTCTTCCCACTTTTCTGTACATCAATTTCTGTGACTCTTCTCCAGGCTCTATGTGGTCTTCCCCTCGATATATTACCCTGTGGGCTCCAATCTAACACTTTCCTTGCTATGAAGCTGCTAAACTTCCTGAGAGTATGTGTAATCCATCGTCACCGCCTTCTTCCCACCTCATCTCTGACTGGGTTCTGTCTTGCTTTCCTTAACACTTCCTCGTTGGTGACCCTGTCTGTCCATCTGATCCTCAGTAACTTCCTTAAACACTTGTTCGAGAAAACCTGAATCCTCTTTATATATGCACGTCTGAGATGTATTCCATATATCACATCCATACAACAAGACTGACTTCACATGTGAAGTGCCTTACCTGGCCAAAAACTTCCTCGCTGACCGCGAAGGTGAGGTTGAGGTCCACCTCGCTGATGTCGTTGTCCTTGATCCACAACAGACTCTGGTGGAACTCCATGTCCAGAGACTCCACGTCCTCCAGGGACAGGGGGCTGATGGGACACCAAGGGAAAAACAATTAGGTCAAGGACACTCGTTTAACCAGGGGAAAACAATAAGCTCAATCACACTCATTTAACGAGGGAAAAACAGTCATTTAACCAGGGAAAAAAATAATTAGCTCAATCACACTCATTTAACCAGGGAAAACAATTAGCTCAATCACGCTCATTTAACCAGGGAGAAAACAATTAGGTCAAGGACACTCGTTTAACCAGGGGAAAACAATAAGCTCAATCACACTCATTTAACGAGGGAAAAACAGTCATTTAACCAGGGAAAAAAATAATTAGCTCAATCACACTCATTTAACCAGGGAAAACAATTAGCTCAATCACGCTCATTTAACCAGGGAGAAAACAATTAGGTCAAGGACACTCATTTAACCAGGGAGAAAACAATTAGGTCAAGGACACTCATTTAACCAGGGAGAAATAATTAGCTCAATCACACTAATTTAGTAGGGTATTCCCCCCCCCTCCCTTTCGATAACATTTTATGGTACTTGCAACACAATTAGGTCATATGAGTGCCAGAGATTAGAGAAAAAAGAATAAGGTCAATGACACTCATTTAGTTGGGTTCCCCCCTCCCTTTTGATAAAAGTTTTATGGCACTTGCAACACAATTAGGTCATATGAGTGCGGAAGATTAGAAAAAAAAAGAATTAGGTCAAAAAGACTTATTAAGGTTGTTTTTTTTTGGTTTGTAAAAATTTTTGGTAAGAGTTTTATGGCACTTGCAACACAAATAGGTCATATGAGTGTTGAAGATTAGAGATGTTACGAGAGAGTAACAAACACAAATAAAAAGAAGGGCGATAGATATAGGAAAGAAGGAGCAAACCACACAAAAAAAAGTTGGGAAACATAATCTTAACTGATACAACCACAAGGCATACACATTAAACGTTTTATTAGAGGTCATAGGTCTATCTGTGCCAGCAACATAAATGGGAGCAAAAAAGCAAAAATTATTTCTTCACATTAAGAAAAGTTCGGTGAATTAGTGCGGTTTAGTTTTAGTAAGAGTTTTACAGCACTTGCAACAGAAATAGGTCTCATATAAAGGCCGAACAACAGAGGTGCTGATAGAGAGAACATACTCGAGAGAAAAATGCAAAGAAAAGAAAGAAAGATAAAGATGACAGACGTTTCAAAGGAAAGAAGGAGTAAACCACACTAGAGCACCAGCAAACCACCCACAAAGTTAGGTACATCACTCACACTCTGAGCACGGCTTTGTAGAACGGCCGAGTGAAGAAAGCATCGAGCAGATACTGATGTACCAGGGCCAGCCCCAGCACGCGTCCAGAGAATCGAAACCTGCCGACGAAAACGTTCATGATTTGTTTTTTTAGTAGAGGTTTTACAGCGCTCGCAACTGCATAAGGTCAAATAAGCGCCAGAAGATTAGAGGTGTTACAAGAGAGTAATAAACATAAAAAAGAAGGAGGGGATATAAAAACGATAGATGTTTGATAGGAAAGAAGAAGCAAACCACACCAGAGCACCCGCCAACCACCCACAAACGTTCATGATTATTTACTTCGCAACGCAACTTACATAAATATAGCTATGAAATCTTCCATGACCCATTTTACAAAAAATTTTCCTTCAGTGCCACGAATTATGGGCTCTTTTGGAGCTCTTCCCAAATTTGAAATAGGAAATAGACACATTACGACATTTTATTCAATATTTATTTATTTTTTTAAACTTCAAAATCAATCACTTATCGGAGAAAAACAAATGTCTGATGTGGAACCCCCACCCCCCCTTAAAAAAACCCAAAACAACTTCCTGTTTGACCATCAATTTTCCTTGAACAACAGTTAGCCTGATCTCGCTTATTTTTTTTCAACATCATTTCTGGCCCATCAAAAGCTGCAATACCTTATAATATTCTTCTTAAACATCCAGGTGTAGCAATAATTTATACAGAAAGGACAGCACAAGAGAAAGCAGCACTGCATCACTCACCACTCATGCGCGTTCTCCACAAAGGTGGACAACGGGCTGACCTGCACCGTGTACGTGTCATTGGCCGAGTACTCAAACAGGCCGTAGTACGGGTTGAACAGCTCGCGAGACAACAGGAAGAAAAATTCTCTAGACGGGCCACCATAATCCAGCCTGTACGAAGAGGAGTGAGAACACAAAAAGGGCATCTTTTTTAGTTTTTCAGTTTTAGTAAGAGTTTTACGGCACTTGCAACAAAATTAGGTCAAATAAGTGCAGAAGATAAGAGGTGTTACATGAGACCAACAAACATAAAAAAGAAAGAGGAGATATTAGGACGATACTTATTTGATAGAAGAGAGGGAGCAAACCACACCAGAGCACCCGCCAACCATCCACAAGGGCATCTTTAATTAGAGTTTTAAAAGTATGTGGAGCAGTGTTTTGAATGAAGAAAAGCACAGGTACGCCATTTACTGACAGATAATTTTCTGACAATGACAGTACCATCACCGTCTGTATTTGTTATACATACTACTTTTAAAGGAAGTTTATCTTGACAACTCAGAAAACTGCATTCAGATCTTAAGGCTAACACAACTAAAAAATACAAACTTCTCCAAGGTAAAAATTTGCTCCACAGGGCAAGCAAACACAATAAATATCAAAAGGTTTGAGAGGCGGGAGTATGTCTTCGTACCCCTATAGAAAAAGATGGATGACATTTGAGTGATTGCAAAGACAGTATGATGACTCGTCCAAGGCCAAAACGAACAAACAAAACAAACTCCAAATAAATCGCTACCTTAGAGTAACAAAGTTCTATCTGCCCTGTACATAGTTTTAAAAAATTTGACATAAAAAAATTTGAGCTTCACAACATGTCAAGCTTTTTCGAATACAATTCTTTGAATGCCTTGATAACAACACCAAATAATCTTTCCATTTTGATAGAGCAAATAGAACATTTGATTTCTGATGTGGTCTTAAAAGCTCAAAACGGCTAAAAATGTCAGATAGAACTTTGTAATTCTAAGGTAACAAATTGCATATAAAAGGAGGAAGAGCAAGGAACTCACCCCTCTTCACCAGCAAAAGTGATGTACAGCTTGTTCTTTTGGAGTTCCTTCTTTGGAGTTGACATGACTTTGTTGAAAGCATCTTCCAGAACATGGTCACGACGGACAGTCAGTCTGAAGGGATATAACAAGATATTTATATTTTCCCCCCTAAAACTTCTTCCTTTTCCTTTCACATCCCAATCTCAAAAGGAACAAATAATCTGTATAATGTATTTTATCTTGTGTGAATGAAGTATGCATGTCGCCCAGTGATCATGTGATCAATGTAAAGCGCTCAGAGCTTACACTCGTGTAGGATAGAGCACAATTTTAAGGTAAACAATTATTATCTATCATCATTATTATTAATGTGAATGGAGTTGAGAATGAAACTCCTTGGTACACACATCATACACGATCATCTTATGCACTCTTCTTAAGCCAGTGCAATTGAGCCATGAGCAAAATTTTTAAAGTAAAGTCTTTATACAATTTTTAAACAAATTAATTACAAAAAAATAACCCAACCAGGTAGCCATCCCATACCAGATTAGCAAGCATTGTCAATAATGTAAAAATCCTCTGCTCAGATGAGTTGATGACTTACTTTAACCTCCCTGGACCCTGGCCGTAGCCTTTCGACTCCAGCTTTCTGTAAAAGTTTCTCAGTTTGGCTTGGAAATCTCGTTTGTACGGAGCTGGCACTCTGCCAGGAAGTCGTTGTACTGAAAGAATTTGAATAAGAGATACACATGAGGTCAACTGAACTGAGATAAGAGAACCACATGGACACAATACCAGATAGTAGAAAGCAAGGATAAAGCAAGGCAGACAGAAACAACAGGGGGGGGGGGGAAAGAAAAGAAGTAGGACCTACCAGTGGTGCCTGCAGTGAAGTCAGACTTTAGTTTTAGTAAGAGTTTTACGGCATTTGCAACACAATAAGGTCATTTAAGTGCCGAAGATTAAAGGTGTTACAAGAGAGTAACAAACACAAAATAGAAGGAGGAGAGATAAGGGCGATAGATGTTTGATAGCACAGAAGGAGCAAACCACACCAGAGCACCCGCCAACCACCCAGTCAGCAAATATAAAAAGATTTCAGAAAAGAGAGTATGTCGCCAAACCCCTACAGTTCAAGATGGACGATCGCAAAGAGAAAAGATAACATAACATAGATAAATCTTTATTGTTCAGATGCTGGCATGTTGGTTTGGTATTTCACACACACACACACACCCACAATCATAAAGTGGTTACCCATGTAACCTTTGCGGTCATCTGACCCCAAGATCTCTCAAGTGAGTAGCTGGCAGGTGCTCTGTTATGGTTTGTTTCTTTTTTTTATTATCAAGAATCTATCATCCTTATCTCTCCTTCTTTTCTTTGTTTGTTACTCTTTAGCAACACCTCTTTTCTTGGACACGAAATGACCTGATAGTTTTGTAAACTCTTACTTAAAAAAAAAGACAGAACTCTGAAACGCCTGTAACCTCTATCAGCTTCACAATGTGCTCTCACCTGGCGAGCCCTGTGGTGACTGTGCTGCGGCCTCCATGCCAGGGTTGCTACGGGAGCTGACAGTCGGTGGCACATATGACATGATCTCGTTCTCAAACAGGCTGAAACATAAGATGGAAAATGAGGATATAATAATAATAATTATAATAATAATAATAACTAGCACAAATTACTGTTCACCAACAAGTTTTATGAGCTTAACAATCTATTTTAATACTACTTCTTCTACTACTACTACCACTGCTACTACTACTAAAGTTATTCCCGCATCCGATCCGGACATTGGTTATTGCCTTGTTAGTGAGACAACTTCCTGGGTCTTCGGCATATTGTGGTAGGGTGGCCAGTTCCTTTCTACGCTGCCTTTACTACTTCCCCAACTTGAAGTCAGGTATCCATTACTGCAGGGTCGGCAGTAGGGGGTGAAAAAAATATGTGTCCGAACCGAGGCTCAAACCCGGACTTTCCGCTTTGTACACAAGTGCACTACTACTAGCGTTTAAATAGCGCATATCCACGCTCTACAGCACGCTCTGTGCGCTTTACAACTATTATTACCCCTTCAGACTCTAGAGCACTCAGAAACACTCTCGGCTTCCTGGGAAGCATACAGTGCAAGCAGGCGATTAAGTACTCAAACACAAACAAAGTGATAAGTTCTTTTGCTGTCTATAGCCGAGTACCCATTAGGACACATCATTGGGCCTCTGATGGGATTCAAACCTATGGGCGATAACATAGAGAAATCCGAAACTTTAGCGGCTGAAGATCGATGCTGACAAGCGCCAGTAGGTGTCTGCTTGACTCCAAATAGAGGGCGGCTAAGGCCTAGATCTAGATCTAAGAAAAAAATTACACCATAACACAGCTGGTATATTATGAATTATTTATTTGGGGGGGGGGGGGGGGGGGGAACCATGAATTTCCTAAGATGTAATTCTGCTCCTTTGCCACCCTAGTTTGACGACGCTGATTTAAAAAATGTAATTAGTTTTTGTTTATGTGAAGCACCTGCTCTGAAATGACCATTTAAAATTGTCCTCAGTCCAGTCGGGTGATGTCAGGCAAACCGCGAACCCGAGTTGGCGTCGGCGAGACAACATTGAGAGTTCACAACCCCAGTGCTCTTTTGTCGTATCTCCACTTTTAATAACAGTCAAAACAGTTCATAACAAAGAGTGAGCTTTAAAAAAGTCACACTTTCACTGTTAAGAAAATGGAGGTACGATAAGAAAGCACTGAGGTCGCGAGTAGACAGCAAGGCCCCCTTTATGCCTTAAATCGACAACCTATTTCTCACAAAATCCCATTCCAAAATCGTCATCTATCCAATCCCCCAGCCTATAACCCGTTTATGCCTGTAAATGGAGATTTATGAGAAGCAGGAATGCCCTTTCCCTCCCACACCTGCTCTAATACTCAATGCTCAGGCCTGGCAGTGAAGGCGCTAAAAGTTCAACTACCTGATCAGACCAACCGTACACCAGAACCCTGAAACTGACAAGACGAGACCAACCTCAGCCCCATAACCAGATGACTTACCTAAGCATTAAGGTGAGCTCGATGTCATTGGACAGTCTCTCCAGCATGTCCACGCCCCGCACAGAGATCTTGTTGATCTTGTCGCGAAGGCCCGAGCTGGACGTGTACTGAGGACATCGGTCGTGCAGCATCTCCTCGATGTTGGGCTGCCGCAGGAACAGCACCACTTTCTCGTTGTAAGCTGAAAACAGCGACACAAGTTTTAGTTTTATCCAATTAGAGTATTACGGCACCTGCAACACAGTTAGGTCATATCCGCTGCTCAGTGTTAGGCTCCCGTCATTCGTCACTTTTTCAAAATGGCGTATGGCGGAGGTTTTCACTAAGAACTCGATGAAAGTTCTGAAGAGTAGAGGTGTTACTAGTGTTTTGGGTTCGTAACATACAAAGGGAAGAAGGGCAGAGGATGATATAGAGGTGCTATTGGAGAGTAACATAGAAAGAAACAAAGGAGAAAGAGATAAGGATGATAGATTGATAGGCGAGAAGAGGCAAACTGCACCAGAGCACCTGCTAACCACCCTCCAGCAAAACAACACTAAGACATTATTGAGTTTGGGAAAAGAAAATCAGATCCACACAATTATGGTGATTTGGTGTTGGGAAAAAAATCAAGATAGAAAGATGCCACACACACACTTGAGTCACTGTAAAGAGAAAAAAAAAAAGGTTCCGAGGAATTGTGTAAAAATTTAAGACACAAAATAACATTGAGTGACGACCCCTGCCGAATCCTAGCACATCAAACTAAAAACTAGAAACAAAAAACATGACAATCAAAGTTGTGAATTATGTTCGTCTATACAACACAAAAACATAACATTGAGCTACATACCTGTAGGTATTGCTGCAGCAGTTTCATTGAGAGGCTGTCGAGGCGGTGGGACAGGCTGCAGACAGACAAACATGGACACGGTACTTGAAAACCAACATTGCAATACTAACTTGAAACAAGTAACAATTTAGTTTTCAGTTTTAGTTAGAGTTTTATGGCACTTGCAACACAATCAGGTCATATAAATGCCAAAGATTTAGAGGTGTTATCAAAGTGTTGTTTTTGAGTTTATTGATCCAGAGAGGAGTTATTGGAGTGTAACAGACAAACAAAAGAAGAAGGAGAGAAAAGGACGTTAATTGTCTGATACAAAAGAAGGAAAAGAGAAAAGGATGTTATATGTCTGATATAAAAGACAGAGCAAACCACCACACCAGAGCACCCTCCAACCACCCACAAGTGACAGTTCATGACAGAGTAAGACAATTCAGTGTCCCTGACCAAGGATGCTGAAAGATGGACTGAAAGCGCCATTTCAAATAGAGAAAAAAAAAATGTACAAAAGAGTTGCGGTGGGAGTGGGTGGGGGTGTTGGGTGGGGAGGAGGAAAAAGGATACAAAATTTAAAGGAAATGTTTGCAGACGTCACTTCATGTAAAATATTTGCTATCTTTCACCCTTCATGAGGCCAAATACTTTGTGGATTGAAAGATCTTGTGCAATTTAACACAGAGTAAGTGTGTAACTTAACAAGAATATAATTAGATCTCACCCGTAGATTCATAGAAATTCCTGCCTTTTAAATTTATTTATCATTTTTATCAAATACAAATTTTTATGCCCCCGCCCACATCATTCTGATAATTTACAAGGCAGGCTTCCGACCTTGCCAGCAAGGCCCAATCCAGACTGAAAGAGATACAGCATCCCTGCAGAAAGACCGAAATACTCCATAAAAATGGTCTCCCCACTCAGGAATCAAACTCGGGTCTCCTGCGTGCGACAGCCAAGGGCGTAACTGCTTCACCACAGACGCCAATCCTGCCTTTCTACGCGCTCAAGTTCTTCCAAATTGAAATACTAATACACACATCCCCTCCAAGCCTTTTGGTATCACAGAACACAAAGAGTTAAAGTAAACAGAAAAGAGAAATCTGCCATAAGCTGACAAAACGCCTTTTTTTTAATTCACAGCAGTATCGGGAAAAAGTTCTTTTTTGTCAGCGTAACCATTGAAAAATAGCATTCTTTCAAAATTTGAATTAGAATATATTTTAAAAAACTAGTCACAGTTTCACTTTGACTTTTTAACACAAGTAGGGTAGCTGATCAGGCTTTCGATTCACCAAATAAAAAATTTTGGTGCCAAAATGAAAAAATGCGTTTTGTCAGCTTGCGTTAGAAACCCCAACACTGACCACATCCAGCTGAGACGGCTCCACAGAGCGCACTGAGGCTCGTGTCCTTGGGGCTGGCGTTTGAAGGAAGTCTGGGTTGATCAACGGCACATCGGTAGGAAGACGCGGGTCCATAAATGTTGTCGTCCTCATCACATGGTCAATAAAAAATGCCTGAAACACACACACACACATAAGTAATCTTGTGATAGCTTCTTTAACTTTCTTTTCTCTTTTTGTTTTGGCATTTCATACATATAAGAGAAAAAAGACCCTGACTTTGGAAATATGGTATGTTGTAACGTTCACACTCGCAGTGTCATGAAACAAAAAGTTGGTAGAACCAAAAAGAGGGCAGTAAGTAAAATAACAGACAGGAAAATAGTAAAAAAGGGGAAATGGAAGAGCACTGATCTATGAAGAAGACAGAACAAAAGCATGAATGTTTGTGAGGTAAAAGAATTTTTCTTCTCGATCATATCACACTTGAAGTCCAGTACCTTATCTATATACTAGGTTGTCCTGCTCATTTCATCTGTTGGCCCCTACAGCTTCAAGGTAAAAATCTTTCACAAAGGCTGAACACAATTTAATGTGAAGCATGCTGACAAAATGAGTTACTTCTTTGATTCGAGCCCTATGGAAATAGTTACATCACATTTTCAGGAGAAGATTAAAAATTCATAAGTATGAAATAATAAAAGGCCTGTTATAGTTAAAGAATATGGCATCAATAAAAAAATCTACAAATTTTACCCTTGTGTTGGTTTTTGACCAATATCTCCATTTGGGGATTGCGAGAAGAAACTCGTTTTGTCAGCACTCCTTACAAATGAATTTGGAAAACGATGACAAAGAAGGAGGCAAATACTGCAGGCTGCCCATTCAAAGCTGGACAGAGAGAGAAAAGAACACAAGGAACAGATCTTCAGGAAGAAACAAGATACAAATCAAGGACATAAACTATTTGTGCGTTTACCTTCCCGGACTTGTCGTACTTCATCTGCCATCGACGTGGCAACTCTTTTGACGTATCACAGAACAAATTCACAAAGGACACCAGATCACGGTTGTGTTGGTACCTGCAGGGACAGAAAAACACATGAGCCACGAGGCAGCCAGACTATACAAGAGTCATTAACTCAACTAAGATAGAAGAAGCCTTTCCATTGATGTCCTCCTCTCCCTTAACATTTTTAACTCATCCCACAACTACAACATTTCATTAATTGATAGAGGTACAGGCTAACTCGTAACTTTTCAGTTTCTCTTGAGTTTGAGTAAAAGAAGCAAATCGACACAGCATAGTGCTGGGAAGAAGCAAGACTGAAAGACAGAAACAACAGAGGGAAAGAATACAAGAAGACCTAACAGTGGTGCACTTCAATCACCTGCTCAGTTTCTCTCACAACTCCCCCAATTTCACTTTATGCCCCCTGCCCCCGCAAAAAAGGAGACAATGTTAATGAACCAATAGGAGCAGTCTCAAGGGGAACAGCCTGTCTAGACCTTTACCTCTCAAAAGAGCGTGGTTCCCGGCGTATTTTTGTGATCATGTGTTTGAGCTTGCTGTTTCGGTTGTAGTCCACCATGGCAGCCTGTGGGGAGGAAGCAGATAACCATATTGATAAATTTACTATGCATTCTTTTGATTTTCTGTGTCTCTACATTACTAATACCTTTGTGAAAAACATAAGTCACTGAGCATACACCAATAAAATATGAACAAATATTCCCCCTCTATAAATTCCCCAGTTCTATTTTCTTTCCTTAGGTAGAGATGAAAAAGAAAACATTAATATTGATGACAAATTTTTGCAATATATTATTCATCATAACATTTGACTAGTCTGATATTAGCATCCTGTACCATTAATAAAAGTTCCCCACTGTTTGAAATCATAAATATCCATTGCAAATATTTTTTTAGAACGCCATGATGAAAAGGGTATTTCTTAAAATTGGAATTAAGTGCAAATACTGAAAAAATCCCCCCAAAACCCCACAATGCCCTGCTACTTCATTAATGATAAAACAATCACAATTACAACATTTTAACAAGATCATCCTCTCCCTCTTCTCTGAAGATAGAACAGTCAGTTCTTGTACTAAGCTACATGGAAGTCTGAATTTTCTCATTAGTACTGCAAAATTATTCTTAGCCTGGGTTTCTTTTCTCAAATCCAGATGTTATTTCAAAATGACTTTTTCCACACCTCTCACTAACCAGCCGTCAGCTTCAACAACAGCAAACACCAGTAAAAAAAAAAATTTTTTTTAGTAGAGGTTTTACGGCGCTCGCAACTGCATAAGGTCATATGAGCGCCAGAATATTAGAGGTGTTACAAGAGAGTAACAAACATAAAAAAGAAGAAGGGGAGATAAGGACGATAGATGTGTGATAGGAAAGAAGAAGCAAACCACGCCAGAGCACCTGCAAACCACCCACATCTCCATTTTTAATAACAGTGAAAACAGATCATAACAAAGAGTGAACTTAAGAAAATGTCACACTTCTACTGTTGAAAAAAATGGAGATATGACAAGAAAGCACGGAGGTCGCTCGGTGGGTCAATCAGTCACCTCACCTCATTTGCCTGCAGCATGGGGAAGAAGTCTGGTCGGGTGAGGAACTTGACCGCCGGGTACTTGTGGACGCTGCGCTCGCTCCTGTCTGGCGCTGGCTCCGCGGGGCTCACTGGACTCGCACTCACCTCCGGTTCCGCCGTCGCACCTGGGGGGGTGATGAGATGGCATGAGTTGGTTGGCTGGGGGTGGGGTGAGGGGGACAGAGACAGAGACAGACACAAGATAGATACAACAAGGGGAAGGAAAAAAAGGACATCAGTTATAGTGGCATGCTCCAATCATCGACATATCGTCGCCCGAATCACGTTCTACCGCAACCGCCATATCACCCGAAATCGGGTCTAAAATACAACCTGGTTACAATTCTTACATTCTAAATTCTGTCAAAATCTGGATTCGATATCTTTAATAGCCACCGAGATAACCGTGGGTCGTGAGGTATGCACCCTCTTGAATATAATTCAGAATCACGTACTAATGCAAGGGATGATACGCTAGTACGTTGACCGTCTCTTCCATCGTTTGTAAACATGCTCATGTTGATAAGTCACGTACAAACATAAGTAACAAGAATCTCACTATTAATCTACGTGATTGCTGCATTGAATTAATAATTTTCATGACCATTTCACGTAAACTTTCTCTCTCTCTCCTCTGCTTCCCCATCTCCCGTCTCTCTTTCCTTTCCCCTCCCCCTCTCTTTCTCTCTCTCAAACTTGCACATAAATCAAAAACTTGCTCCCAGTCTATGTTGTTGTTTTGCCGATTCAACCTCTTTTCATTGTACTGATTCATCCATTTGTGAAACTCAGGCACCAGTAAATACTGGTAAAATGCCTCACCATGCTTTTTTCTTTCAAAATAAAATAACGTAACTGTATACGTAAACTTTCTCTCCCTCTCTGATGCAAGAAATTAGACCATAGAGTAAGCTTTAAAAATAAAAGACATAAATGAAAAGCAGCCACAAAGCTGGACAACAAGTTGAATATTCAGTAACTGAGATATCGGAGGTGAAAATCTTGAATCCCTTAAACGCCCTTTTGATAAACCTTCAACGACCAACTTTCCACATCTTCACTTACAAGGAAATGCAAAACCTGTCATATCGAAAGGATTATGAATAAAAGATAAGAGTGTGAAGAGGAGATAATTCAGCGCTGAGAAAATAATGCAGCAAATGACCCACCGGTACTCATCTCCCTTGAATCCCCGGATGAAACACTCTCCGTGTCCACTTGTCGGCTCTGCGTGATCGTACGACGGATGCTCTGGTACCTGGCACACATAGGGAAGGACAAGTACGTCTCAAAATAAGAAGAAACAGAGAGTATACTCTTTCAAACACAAAGCTGCCAGCTTTAAAAAAACCCCCAAAAACAGACTACCCATGTGGCAGGTCAAGTTCGTAGGCAATGGCCTAGTAACCCTTTCGGAATCCTTTACTTCTGCATTCAATAAATTCAGTTAAAATATTCCAAGTAGATCTGCAACAATAATGTGAAAAATGTTTAACTCACCCAGCACTAATGCCGGTAATATCAGTATGCGCGCTCCAACCCTAACGCCGACAGTATCGGTATGGAAAATTTCACTCTCGTGACCGAAAACACAGCTTTTGTGTGAAGCAGACTATAGCCTTATTGGAAGAGTAACTATTTTCTATTTTTCGTTTGAAACAGAGTATGACCAGAAGAGCAAGCCCAAATTTAGAACAAAGAAAGCTATATTCGTGCACCGTGTGAGGGGGTGCAAAATTTGAACGCACTTCCTTTGTTCGCTTTGTTTACTTTTGACTCTGTATATAGACCTTTTTCCACGGAGTATTGCATAAAAACTATGACATATTTTGCCTTCAAACTTTCAATACACACATATAAAGGTTTGAATAAAATGTGTACCAAATTTTGGTAGGATATGTTAAATTTTTTTTTTTTTTTTTCAATTTTTCAAAAAGTAAAAAATCTCTAGGCAGAGCTGACAATCTGGAAGTGTAGGCCTAGGGTTGAGAGAGTTAACAAAGATCTCAACCTGTGACGGGGGGGTTGCTACAGCTAGTTCAGTATAATCTGAGAGACAATGTGTGTGTGTGTGTGTGTGTGTGTGTGTGTGTGTGAGAGAGAGAGAGAGTATTTGCAAGAAAATGAATTGGTCGCTTTTAAGGACAAGCGGGCTAACCCAGATTTCGTGGGTTTCCAAAAATCTTGACCTACATCAAAAGTGGGCACTGTCCTACCTATATGAGAAGTTGGGTTTCATTGGTGTGTATATTTGTTTGGTTATAGAGAAAATTCTCCTTGTATTTTATAGAGACTGAACAAGGGGCAAAAACTTTACCTTCGATTTTCTCAAAACAGCATTTTTCGGGATAGCCCCCTTGTGCTTAAAAGCGACCAACTGACCTCCTATCCAGCTGCTGCCTCTGCTCTGAGCTGAGCGTCGGTCTACGGTGAACAGTCTGCAAACCCGTCTGAGGTCTCTGCCATGTCGTGGTTCTGTTCACATGGTCAATGTAGAAAATACGGCCATGGCTGTCCACACGAGCCTCCCAACCTGGAGATGAAACATTAAACGTTTCACAGTTTTTTGGTTTTGGACTTTCTTTTTAAAGGTAAGGAGGATTCAATAAATGTGGAAAAAAAATCCTATAAATTGTTATGCAAGTCAATTCAATAAGTGTTATATAAATGGAACGGTTATTAAGTGTACAACACAATATTTTTCACACACATACACTCTTTAAAGACAAAAATGGTACACATTCTTACTGATAAAAATGGTATACACAATACTTTTCAGACGTGAAACCTTTTCCATGACTTTACTGACGAATCTCTTGGATTTATTGTGTCAAAGTGTGAAGATGTTTTCATCAGTCAGAGTAAACTGCTGAGAACATTCCAGCTTTTGTACTAGCACACCAAGGCAGAGGCAGAGTTGATACAGAGTGAGACTGAATACCCCCCCCCCCCAAACAAAAAAAAAAACAAAAAAAAAATCAAACTGAAAATATTTTGTTACTGGAAAGAAGTGGAATAAGTGTTAAATTGAATGAACCTTAATATATTTCAAATAAATAAGAAAACCAGCCAGTTCAACCTCATAAGGAAGTGCCTTCTCAAACATACATACATTAATTAAATACACATAAAGGATAGCAGTGAAAACATTTCTGCGTGACAAATAGCAGACAAGCAGCATGGAACAGACCGGAAGGAAGGGCATCATCTCTGTCATCCACTCTGTGGTACTTTGCTCTGCGTGCTGGTGTGCGCGAGTCTGCACTGCTGCCACCTGGGTGTCACAATATTCAACAAAGGAAAATTAAAATTTGAAACTGTCATGATTTCTTCTGCGAGAACATTTGAGCAAATGTTAAATTTTTTAAACTACTGTCCTAGTCGTCCACCCATTGTCAGGGGAAAAAAGGTTGTCTTACACAGGTGGATATCTTGGACAGTGGCATTATAATATTCTTTTTAATGCAAAGAAAGGAGTAATGGGATGTGGTCGTTTGTACAGGTGATTGTCTAGAACTGGTGGCTGTGAGAGAAGGTTTGACTGAATTATTATTGTCATTATGGACAATAATGTGCATAAAACTTGACAACAGATTAAGTTGGAGTTGCATGCTGAAGTACCAGCTGAGGTATGATGAAGGAAGAGATGACGGCAGAGCAAGAAGAACACTATATTAATTCATAAAAAACACCATAAATTAAATTTTTTTTTCTACACAGATGAAAAAAAAAGTAATCAGGTGGCAGAGAAGAGGGGGGATGGAGCAGCGCCTTTTTTCAAGACCCGGGGGAAATTAATATGAATTCTTTGAAATGTTACATAGGGGAAAACTAAATTGTTTTCTTTTCCAACATTTTTGCATAACAAATTGCTCTTTGATATTTCACTGTGCCCTCATAACAAATTGCTCTTTGATATTTCACTGTGCCCTCATAACAAATTGCTCTTTGATATTTCACTGTGCCCTCATCTTTAACAGTTTGAAAATTTTGCTTAAAAGTTTTAAAAAGAATGAAAAAGACTTCAAGCTACAGTTAAAAAACAAGTCTACATTCAGCTAACAAAACATTTATTCTGAGGACAATCAACAAAGAAACTGATCAATGACAAGCATTTTCATTGAGTGTACCTTGCGCATGTCGCTCACGCCTTTCCCCAGACCTCTCCCTCTGTCCTGGTGTTAAAGAGCTGGAAGAGGAGGTGGACGTTGATGCTTGAGGTTGGGCGGGTGTGCCCGACACTGCACTGTGGACGGACGTAGACAGACCATCAGGACAGTCTGTTCCTCTGCTCCCCACGGGTGGTGCGGCCGCGTTGGGGGAGGAGGACCTGGGTCCAGGGGGCAGAGGAGGGGGTGGCAGTGAAGGGGGTGGCAAGGGTTCTGAAGGGCTGCCCAGTTCACACTCTGTGAAAGAAGGTGGGGAGCTTCCGTCGATAGGCGAACCGGATCGCACGGCATTTGGAGATGATGGCAGCTGAGGAGAAGACGGTGGGTGAGTGGTTTTGATTCTCTGCAGCCGCGTCCACTGCTCTAGCTGCTGGTTGATTTGTTGTCGGTTGAGCTGACGTTCCTCCGTAGACATCTGTCTCTGGCGTGGCAGGAGCTGCGGGGGGCTGGAGGAGCCTCCTAGCTGAGAGAGCCCGTCCACGCTGCGACGTTTCAGCTTGTTCTTGTCGGCCTGATGTGTGGCCAGGCCTGCTGGTTCACTGATGGTAGAGAGAGCCAGGCTGCCCCGAGAGCCTGGGGCATGTTCGATTCGGGCCGCGCCAGGCAGGACTCCGTGTGAATGACCTACAGCCCCTGGGGACGAAGATGATCCCGTTTCAAAGAGCGGCACCAACACTAGGTGAGAGGAGCTGCTTGCTGGGTCCGTTTTGGGTGAATACTGGGACTGTCTGGCAGCAAGAGGGGGTGGGGGCGGATGAGATGAATGCAAACTGTTGAATGAGGGTGGGTGTGGGGGCGGAGCGGACTGTGGGGAGCGGGGCTGGCCCGAGCCTGCCGTAGAGCTGGTGGGTGGCCCCCAGGGGAACAACTCTTGCTCTTTGGTCACAGCTGCATCAGCCCCCGTGTGGGATTCCCCTGATGCAGTCGCATTCTCACCACTGTCTGAGGTAGACTCGGGGAATTCTATGGGGCTGTAGGTTCTCGGTGGCAAGGGAGGCGGAGGCTCTAAAGAGTGTCTCACTTGGTCCGAATTAAACGACATGCTGTGACTCAAAGGTTTTCTTTTCTGGCGATCGATGTTATGGCGGGGAGGTATCGGCGGGGCTGGTTTTTTATATACTCTGGGAGGGAGGGGAGGGGCAGACACTTTGTAAGTCCTAGGAGGGAGGATGGGGGCATCTGACAAGGACGCTCCCGGCGGGTACACAAGCCCTGCAGACTGGACAGACATATCCAGGTCCGAGGCCGATGCACAACTCATCTCCCCGTCCTCTCCCATCGCTCCCAGCACCTGACCATTCTGCACGACATTCTGGTCCCCGTCAGCTGACTGACAGGACGTCTGAGTGTTGACCGAGCCTAGAGTGGACGCTACTGCCGCCATCGCATTGTCCGCGCTTCCATTGGTCTGCACCGGCTGTAGCCCAGAGCCGTCCACGCCGGGCGGGATTGAACCTCCTGAATTGTCGCTCGAGGACACCACTGAGAGTGAGGCTCCAGAGTCCGAGCTGTCAATATGAAGGTCGGAGGTCAAGGCAAGACTGGTCACCTCATCACCCGCACTGACCTCATTGCCTGGGCTTCCTTCGGCTGTCAGTTCGTTCACAATGTCTAAGAAAGTTCCAGAATCCACCACTTGTCTGCCTTCAGAACTCAAGTCTGCACCAGCACTAACACTACGAGAAAACTGCATCTGTGGACTTGAACCCACCACCGCTTCACTGCCACTGGAACCTGGACTGGGCAAACTAGGCAAGCTACTGGTCTCTGCACTGCTCAGCCCGAGGTCCGTGTGTCGATGTCGCATCCTTGAATTTCGAACATCTCCGTCGTCCAAGTGAGGCAAAGGGTTTGGCAAGGACGCCTGACGTGTGAGATCTGATTGAGCTTGCTTCCCCACAGGAGACGACATGTCTGATCCTGTGGACAGTTTAGTCTCCTTTTAGTACAAATTTCAAGCCGCTTGCCACTCAAATAGGACATATAAATGCAGAAGACTAGAAGTGTAACTAGAGGGAGTGAAAAGGGGGGGGGGGGGGGCGGCGAAGGGGGGCAGTCACTTAATAGGTCCTTGGAGAAAGCATGGAGGTATCTGACAAAGACACTCCCGGTGGGTACACAAGCTCCAACTTAATGAAAATAGAACAGAGATTCTTTTATGTAATCCAAAGAAAAGTTCAAAACCCACAGACAAAGATCACATTTGAACTGAAAATGAAAAATTGTATTTTACTGATAAAGGCAAAACACAATTTCTTAAAATGGGAGTGTATTTTGATTCAAAACTATCCATGGAACATTACATCAATTCTTTTTATGTACCATCTTATTTTGCAAATTGCATAGAATTGCGTATGCGTCTATATTTTTGAATGAATGCTCATTAAAAACTCTAATGCCACCTTTCCTGTTTTCTCGGATTGATTACTGCAATGTTCTACTAGCTAACCTACTTTATATCACTTTTAACAAATTACAGCATTTTTCACAATCATACAGCTAGGCTTGTACTTTCAAAAAAGGAAAAGGGAACACATTCCTCCCAGGTTTAGAACATAGCATTGACTCCCTGTGTCAACTAGAATATCGAATAAAATTGTAATATTATGCCACAAGTGAGTCAATAACAAAGTTCCCTTATATCTTAATGATCTTATCCAGATTTAAGTTCCATCTGCATCACTGAGATTAGGTACCGCAGGCGAGCCGTTTTCCAGGCAGACAGCTACGGCTGGAGCCAGATTTGGACAACTTCATCCAACTATTAGCTGGTTTTAATTTTTGTAAACACTAATAAAAATTATACCACTGTTTTCTGTGTCTTTCGTTCTCCAAGGTGAACGAGAAACTGATACTTATGATTGCATATTTAGTTTTTAATTGACTAAAGTTTAACACGGGAAAACTCGGCCGTCTCGCAATTTTGCGTGCTTAGATTTGGGGGGGTACTTGTTTTAAATTTCGATTTCTCAGTCGTGAATCATCGAATTTTCTTGCGGTTTGAAACATAAAAATCTGGGA